TAGTACATTCATCCCAGATGATAATTTTACACTGTATCAGCACGGTGGCCATGGACGATTGTTTTTTAATGTTGCATACTGCGTCAGGGTTATTTTGAATATTTAGTGGCAGCTTAAATACTGAATGAGCTGTTCTGCCTCCATCCAATAAAGTTGCCGCAATGCCCGATGATGCAACGGCCAATGCGATGCCATTATTTGATCGTATTTCAGCAAGAATTAGCGAAATAAGGAATGTTTTGCCAGTTCCACCCGGTGCATCCAAAAAGAAGAACCCACCTTGTCCTGCTGAAACTGCGAGCATAATGCGGTCATAAATGGTTCTTTGTTCGTCATTCATTAGTTAAAAAAAATGTTAAGGGTGAACAACCCTTATCACTTAGGGGTATGAAAAATAGATAGTAGCCGATTCTCAGACCTACTGAATATGCATATAAAATTTGGTAAAAATCGGTAAAGCCGTTTCGGAGGAGTAAGGTAACTAACATTGTGACACGAGAATTTTATATATAAGATTACAACAATAAGTTGCAAAGTAAAGGCAGCAACTCTAAAATACTTAAAAATAAATACAGTTAAAATTCTGGTTTTTCAGATTAAGCTTTGTTTATATGATTTTTGTATGAATTAAAAAAGTATTTAATTTCATTGTTATATATATTTTTGTTCATATTCAAATATGAAATTAACATTAGAGAAATTCATCTTTACATAAATGTACATAATTTGTCACTATAAAAAAAATGAAACTGATAACATAATATTTTAACTGAAAAATCATAGATATATATTAATTATTTTATTTAAAAATAGTATAAAAATAAATTCTTGTTTTTGTACTAATAGGTTTAACACTTAAATATTAATTATTCAGATTAGAAATTACATAAAACAAGATTATTTAACATTAGTTTTTGTCTTTGACATGAAAAAGCAAATTTTTTTTCTGTTTTGAAGAGAGCTATTGTTTACTTTTGCAGGAAACAATAAAAGGCTGTCAATATTGTAAGGCATTGTTGTGTGTCTTCAGTAATTTCAGACCACATTTCCTATGTAAACTTTGTGGCATTCAAATAAAATTAAGAACAACAATGGTAAGTAAAAAATTTTATTTTATATTCATAAATGCATTCAAAAGAATTTTTATTTCATAAATGGTTTTATTTAGCAATTTATGACGAGTAAATGTTTTAGATAGATACACACCAGCTGCTCGGACATTTGAAAGATGCGGGATTAGTGAGGTTGAGTTAGGAGAGGGTGATAAAAACAATGGCCTTAGTAACTAAAATATAAATTTATTCATCTCAATATTCACAAAAATAAAACCGCAAAACAAACAAAAAATTTCTCAGTCTAAAGTAACAGGAAATGAGACCCTGTGTTTCCCCCACAGATTTAACATTGTACTTTGCTACTTTGCTACTTTGCATAATAGCGGCTTTCTCAAATGTCCCTTCTGCGGCGTTTTTTACAAAATAACAGCTTTAATTTGTTATCTGATGCGTATTCTCATTGCCAGCCGTTCATTGAAACTATGTCGTAAAAACTGGAAACCTTTTATCAATTAACATATATATACACACACAGCAAATGCGCATACAAATACAACGTAACTTTTTTATATATAATAAAAATATTTAATTAATATACTTACAGTAATGACTTTTTAGCATTCGCATATTTGCAGCTTTCAGCGGTATATAGGAGGAGCAGTATCATAAGGATGTTTTTGCATGTATAACAATAAATCGTAACGTTAAATAATACACCGAAAAAAAAAATAATATTAAAACTGTTAATGTAATGTTATGTAAAAGAAACTGTTTGATATCATCTTTAATAGTTTGTCCATGTTTATCAATTAGAAGACAAACTTCATCAAGAGATGTTGACTATCGTTACTTATTTTATAGTACAACATTTCCTATGGACAGAATCAAGAAAGTACAAAAAACAGAATGCTGTGTTTTTTATCTTGTGCTAGTGATGTCCGCATATGAAATCTGCTGACATGTGTCTTTCTTATCGCATTTATTCGTGAAATATTATATTACAAACTAGCAGTACCCGCCACGCGTTGCTGTGGCTCAAAATATATCTATTATAAACGTATAACACTTCCCCGCGGGTGGGAATTTCGAAAAATCCCTTCTTACTGTATATTTTCTTGACGTACCCTATTAAAACGCCAAAAAAAAAAAAAAAACACATCTAAAATAGTATAATAGAAGCCCAATTCTTCACGGTAAGTCTTAATTTTGTCTCTCTCACCAGTGAGAGGAGGAATTTCAACATCTATATTATACAAAAACACGCGGGTGTTCGAATGCAACGTTCTGTCAAAATTTCAAAGCAATTGGTGAAGAACTTCCAGAGATTAGTTATTAAGAACAAACAAACGTGTACATTTTTATTTATATAGATATGAAATGTTTTAATATCAAAATGGCAGAAGAACAAGATAATTCTTAATACCACATTGTAAATTGTTTTAAGTGTAGATTTTAAAACGTGGTATGTAAATCAATCTTGTGTTTTCTATTAGAAAATAAACTGATGATGTCTGATTTCCGTGGATATAATACGAAAAATATTTACAAACGGATTTGTTATGTTGAGAAATAAGTAAATTTCGATCAGAACGAAAAGAAATTATATTATTAAATAAGCGTGCCAATGTTTTTTATTTACAATTAAATTTTTTATAATGAACCTATAATAACACAGGTCTGGAAAAAAATTTTTTCAGCTGCAAGGGATATTTTTGCTGGATTATGTGTTTTAAAGATCGGAGATTCAAAAAATAACTTCCGTTACATCCCATCACA